CTCAGTGTCACCAAATCCTTCCTCTTGAATGCCCTTCTGCACAGATTGCTCCAAAGCCCTCTTCCTCTTGACCTGAACCCAAAGCCCCTCATTTCCCAGCATGGCAGCCTTAAGGTGGGACCCAAGAACCTGCCCAGACTCAGCTGCCACTGTGAGACCAGAACTGGCGCCTCGGCATGGCCTCTGGCCCCTCCTACAGCCATACCACAGTCCTCCTCTCCTCTCACCCCCTGGAGCAGCTCAGCTGCTGACCGGGGCCCCGGGGAGTTCCTCCAACAATCAGGAATTGTGGAAGGCAGAGACCTGTCGTGCAGGCTTCCCCACAGACTCCTGGGCCTCGCCCAAGCTCACACACAGGAAGCCCTGGACAGCCCTGGTGAGGACATCTGCTCACAGGCCTTTTCTGCTCTGTGCCTGCAGCTTTTCACCACTGCAGCCTCGCCAGCCCCTGGACCCTCAGACCAGCCTCGCCAAATTCCCTTCCCTCTGCAGCTCTCCACCCTCTGAGCTTTCCTTTGCTTGCGCTGTTCCCTCTGCCTGGAATGCTCACTCCTGTTGCTCCATGGAGCCAACCACTGCTCCCCCTTCACCACTCATCCCTGCCGAGGCTCCCCCCCATCATCAGGAAGCTACAGTCCTCCCTGAAGCTAGCAGGATCCTAGGGGCTAGGCTGGGGCAGAGGCTCTGCTGAGGCTTGGCTGAGAGTCTGGGCACCGAGGGCTGAGGCAGGGTGGGCCTGGCAGGGGCAGCAGCAGCCAAGTTATGGACCAGGCAGGTAGGACATAGGAATGGCCCAAGGCTGAGATGCGGACCATCAGGCCACACTCCCTGCCCAGGCTCCCTGCCTGGAGCAGCTGCTAGTAATCAGCACCTGGCATGCACTGAGAACCTACTATGTGCCAGGTGTGGTGCTACAGCCTTTCCATGGTGTAACTCACTGAGTGTGCCCCAATTTTACCAATGCAGAAATAAGGCTAGGAGAGTGAGCTATCTGCCCAAAGCCACCATGAGGACCGACAGGTGGAATAGAGACCAGGCGCTGCCTGACCGTTAGGCGTGACCTTTTGCACCACACTGTCACTCTCCTGGTCTAGAGGTCCTGGGACCGTGGAGACCCCACCAAGGGTGACAGGGGGAGAAGAATAAAAAGCCAAGAGGCTCATGCTGGGCTTCCAAAGACAACAAGAAAGGACTCAGAGCCTCCAATCATAAAGCTGAAACCAGGTCCAGGGAGTAGAGGCAAGGAGCTAGGGAAGGCCGTGGCAAGACAGAGGTCAGCCAGGAAAGCACTGACTCCACTGGGCTCAGACTCTGGGCAGGCAAACCAGGACACTCGAGACCATGGAGGGAGGAAGCTGGGGGTGCTTCACTTAGTCCCCATGTCCACTCTGCCCAGTGGGGCTGCCAGTGGGGACTCTGAGATGCCAGCTCTGTTTGGAACAGACACCCAGAAGGAGGGGGGTTCCCAAACCTCTGCACTGTGGACCCACAAGTCACCCCACTGGCTGCCACACTCTCACTGCAGGAGGAGGGAGTGATGGGTGATCTGCTGGGGACCAAATGTCCCCCCAAAACCCTGCGCATGCTTCACAGAAGCCTCAGGAGCTTCAGCGTTTGCTAAGAGCACAATTCCCAGCGGCCTGTCTGGTGCACTGAGGACGAGCTGGCTCTTAGGGTCCATGGAGGAGGAGGAGGAAGTGGCGAGGGTTTCAGGGTTCCATGCTGGTGACTGGGACACTAAGATCCCCGTGTTCTTTCCTCCAGCCTACAACCATGTTTGCTACCCAACTCAGACCCTTCCCTCAGCAATCCTTTGCTGTGCCTGCCTCATCTTCAGCTCTTCAGAGGCCTCCTCTGAATTCTCTGACAAGTAAGACCACTGGGATTCCCAAAGCCCCCATATTCCACACAGCCCTCAGCACACCTACAAACTGAAATGAGCTGATGGATGTCTATTCCTCTACCTTGTGGGACAAGGCTGAGGGCCTGAAGGGTTCAGATAAAACACATGTCTCACTTAACGCTCCCCACCACCCCGGAGGCTTGGCTGTCATCCCACTTTAGAGATGGTGTTGGTGACCCACATGGCACGTCAAGTATATGGTTTTGCAAATCACTAGCAGGCTTTAAGAGTGAGCTTTAAGAATGGCCACAGCAACACCCTGCCTTCCTAACTCAGGTGTCCTCTTCATCTTCCCTTGCAAACCTTCCCCTCACCCCCCACCTCACCACCAAACTGCTTAAGTTCAACAATGACAGGTAGAATTCAGTCATTTGAACATTCATTCATTCAAGCAATCAAATGACTCATTTGTGAGCTGTTTAGGGAACAGTAAAGGGGCCCTTCTTGCCTGGGTTTCCCTCTCCCTGCTGTTCCTGGGACCTTGCCAGCAAAAGCTAAGCACTAGGTAGCTGCCCTGTCCTTAGCCTCCCTCTCAGTGGGGAAGTAGCAAAGTGTCCATCTCCATCAATCCCTGACCCTCAAGGACAGCAGCTGAGCATACATGGGCCAAATAATGGATAGACTCATAGTCCTTTGGTGTCCATCATTCTCTGAAGACAAGAAGGACAGGATTCTTCCTCCTCCTTCCATGCAATTCGGTGTCCCTGATCCCAGGCAATCTGGAAAGTTCTTGACTTGCAGTCATAAAACAAAAGTTCTAGCTCCGGGCCTAGAGCTATCTGTGGGACTGCAGGAGAACAAGTCATTGTGTCTCACTGTCTCTGAGCCACAAGTTCCTCATCTGTAAAATGGGAGTGATAATGGTGAGGTTTCTAATGCCCCTCCCACAGGCTTGTAAGCCAGGATGAGGCCATTCAGATCCAGAGAAACAGCTATCACATAGATGGCGGGCTAGGGAAATGCCTTAGGAGCAAAGGAGCCTACTGGGACCAGCTGCGCTACTTGCAGGATGCATTGACAACGCAATTGCAGAGTGATGATTGGGGGCATCCCCAGCAGAGGAGCCCAGAGCCTGCCTTGAGTGGACCCTCAGAAGTGAGAGGCCCTCCCCTGTCTCAAAGATAGTGAGAGAGCTGTGTTTCTCAGCCTACCAGCCAGAATGCCTCAGGGAAGAAGATGTACTAGAACTGAACAGATGTTCAGCTCTCCCCAGACTTGAGCATCTTACCCTAGGGAGTGTAAGGCCGGAAACCTGGAGGTCTCAGAATCACAGCCACTCTCAGACCCACCCAAGGACCAACCCCCTGCACTCTCCCGTCTTTAACAGGTACCAGATTCTGAAGGATCTGGAAAATTCCTTCTCTTCATTACATGGCCAGTTTCCATTTATTGAATCCAGGCACCAAGCCAAATGTATTATTTGTGCTCTCTCATTGACACCTTGTGAAAAGCCTGTCCTAGAACATTTGATTATCACCCCATTCCACAGACGAAGAAACTGAGGTTCAAAGGAGAAAATGACTTACCCAAGTCACAGAGCCAGTATGTGGCAGTGCTGAGATTAACGCTCCAGTTGGGACGTCTGAAGCCTGCATTACCCCCAAAGGCAAAATAGGGCAAATCACTGACAAAATTGCAAAGCAAAAATCAATCCTGCCTATGCATTGGGGAATTTTCTCACTGTAGCTGGTGATGAGTCATTGAGAGCATGGGAAAGTCGTGTGCCCCTACTTCCTGGGGGAACAAAGATCCCTAGAGATCAGGATGCCAAAGCTCCCTCAGCACCAACACATCCCACCCAGTGCTCCAGTGTGCTGTGCTCGGCTCTCCAGAGACCCCATACTCCAGGTTCAGACTTCCCAACGGAGGACCCCAAATCTATTCTTCAGGTAAACTGGGGCAGATGAGGGTTGGGGCGCCAGGATTGGCAACCCTAAAGAGACAGGCATCCATGACTAGGCTGAGACTACAGTTCACATCTCCAACTGCTGCATCCACAGCATGGCCCTTGCCCTGCCTGGTGGCACCCGGCCAGCGAGGTTCAGGGCCGCAGCCTCCGTCAACCAGCACAGAGGACACATTTCGACTCACAGCAAATATTAGGGCACCTTTGTTAGAAGGATAGGACTTTTCTTTCAGTCCTTTCGGCTGGTCGCTGAGCTGATGAGGGTCTGGGGCCAGGCTGGGGATGTTCTAGACTCTCTGAGAAGGTCCTAGCACTGTATACAGATACCAGAAGGAATCTCATGTGCTGAGGTGAGAGAACAAAGTCCACTCTGGCACCGGTGAACCACTGCTGCCTTTGGCAGAAGAAAGGACAAGCCTAGGGGGAAGTGGGAGGGAGCACTTGGCCTCTCCGGATCCCATCCAGGCTCCTAACCTGACGACTGCCCCTGGGAAGGCAGAAAAGAGCAGGCTGCCAGCACGCTACACTCATTAGCGTGCGAGCACACACAGACACAGGCTCACACCCACACAAGTGTCCAAAGCCACTCTGGACGCTCTCCTTCCCCTCAGTTCCAGGGACTGGACCAAAAAACAGGTCACATTATCACATCTCATACAGAAAGAATCAGAAATGATAGTGTGGGACAAGTACACAATGCAAGGGCCCCCCAAAAGGATCACCACATGTGACTTGTGTGCAGGGTGCACACACACACACTCCTGTCCCCCCTCCTGCATAGGCAGCTGTGAGGCAGCCATCACCCCAGAGGCCCAGGGTCCCTGGGGCGCCTCAGCCCACCCCTGGTGGCCTCCAGAGGGCCTCACAATACAAAATCACACTCGGAAACTGTGACACACACAACTGTCACCAGACTACCCCATCTAGTAAGATGTCAACAGATGGGCAAATGTTGTCTAGTTACACACACACACACACACAGTCAGTCTCTCCCTCTCTCTCCCTCTCCCTCCCTCTCTATCTCTCCCTATCTCTCTCTCTCTCTCTCTCCTCTTCTCAATGGACGTGCCCTCGGGCTGGGCTCCCGGCGCCCTCTGCAGGAAGCGCGGAGGCCCGGGAAGTCCCGGGTCCGAGGTCAGAGTCCCCGCGGTCCCCATCCACCCCCGGGGCCCCCGTCCACTGCGGACTCACCGGACGATGCCGAACATGACCAGCACGTTGCCCAGCAGCCCCACAGCACACACGGCCGAGTAGAGTGCGGTGATGGCGACAGCCAGGGCGAGGGACGAGGCTCTCCGTGCGCCCGGCGGCCCCGACGCATTGGCGCCGGCGCTGGGGAAGGCGCTGGGGAAAGCGTCCGACTCGTTGGCCAGGAGCAGGGGCTGCGGCTCGGCATCCGCGGAGGGGACCGGCTCCATGGCGGCCGGCTGACCGGAGCTGCGTCCCGCCCCGCCGTGCGCCCTGGGCGCAGAGACCTGGAGCGAGGGACGCGAGAAGGGCCGAGGCCGCGGCCCCGACGCCGCCGGCTGCAGCACGCTGGGCGCCCGCTTCCGCAGCGCCTTCTCTGCCCGCCTCGTCGCCCGCACCGGCTCTGTCCCGCGGCCCCCGCCCGCTCTCCTCGCCGGGAGCGCTCTGAGCCTGGAGCCGCTGCGGGTTTCTCGGACGCGCCCGCCGCGCGCACCACGTGGCCCAGAGGCGGTCGCCAGTCTGCGCCCGCGACCGGGGCGGGTGCTGCACCACGCAGGGAAGTTTCCCACGCCCTCAGGATGCCCCGGGACTCAGCTCCCCTCCCTTTTGCCGCTTTGGAATCAGAAGGACCTAGTAGTGCATCCCACCTCTTGCCCCTGCACGGAAAAGCACGGTGACCTTGAGCAAGTCATTTAACCTCTCTCAACTTCATTTTCCTCACCTGTGAAATAAGAATCATCATACCAGTTCCTTTAAGGGGTTGTAAGGAGATTAACTAGGATGATGCAAGTGCTCAGTGCTGGGCACACATCTGTGCTCATAAATAATGATCATCTTGGGGTACTAGGTACTCGAGGATCAGCTGGTACCCAATAGGGGATGCAGCACCTGGCTTTTGGGGTTCATGCCCCAGTGGAGAAGAGAAGCATTAGTTCCAAGATCACACTGATGAAGATATGGTTGTACCTGGAGGAAAGAAAAGGAAACCGAGGGGCTGCTGACACAGGACCTACAAAATCCTGAGGTCAGGACAACTTCCCTGAGGAAATGACGCTCACAGTGAGATGTGAAGGAACTGACTTAGGAAAGAAGCAAGGGGAGAGTAATTCATACAAAGGAGCCCAGTGTGCAGACCTGTGGTGGTGAGGACCAAAAGGAGGCGATGCGGAGAAGGCAGGGAGTAGGTAGGGGAAGGATGGCATGAATTGGTGGGTCTCAAAGACCCTCTGGACGCTGGAGGAGCAGGTGGCAGGGCACGGCTACCCCGCGTCCTCTCCCTGACCTGACCAGCCCATACCCAGTGCCATTCTCTTTCCTGGGATTCTTGTCCCTCCCAGAACTTTCTCTCTGCAAACCCTTATCCTGTTCCATGCACTGTGATAATGCATGCATCAACACTTTGGAGTAGTTTCTATAAGTGCTCCTGTTTTAAGATAAGAAGTCTAGGCCAGGTGCTAAATCATCACATATGGTAATTATTGCTATCAGAACTTCTTTTCTTCTTGGGAAGACCAGGTCAGCTTGATCCTTGCACCCTTTAGGGATGGGATCACAGGTCAGCTTGATCCTTGCACCCTTTAGGGATGGGGTCACCACGTTTGTTCAGGATATGCTGGTTGGGTGAAAAATGGTCTCCAGGGAGAACAGAATGACAACCTAGGGGCTCCCAAGTACTAGCTCTGGGGTAATGCTCTTGGCCCGTGACTGGGCAGGGATCCCTCATTTATACCACATAAGTCATTCGTTTATTTGCAAGGCTCCTATTCTTTCCCAGAAAGAACAAAATCAGAAGTCCTAAGTTCGCTTCTTTTCATTCACTTTGCCTCATTCAGCTGAAGACTCCTCATCCCAGACTTTCCCTCTCAACTAGCTAAGGACTCATTATGCAGGTGGTTTTCACTCTGTGGTCATATGTGCTGCCAGACCTCTTTCCCTTGTCCCAAAAGACTTAGTACTCAGGATACTTTACTGGTGTCAAAGGAAATTGGAACAAGAAGGAGACTTGGACCCTCCCTAGGGTGCAACAGGTTAAAGTGCAGCACTACGAAGCCGGCCACAGCCACTGCAGTGCAAGTTCAATCCGCACCCAGGGAGCTGACCCACAGGGCGCAGAGACCTCTCCTGTCCCGCCTGCGGCTCCCCTCAGCAGTGTACTTCATCAATCTGCCTGTTCTGCTCCTCTCAGTGCTCCTGCCCCTCTGGCCTGCACCCCAGTTCTGTATGCATAAATAAATAAACCTTAAAAAAAGAGAGAGAGAGAGAGAGAGAAGGGCTTACTTAGCATTTTAGCCTCCTCTAACAAATTGAAATTTTTTTCCTACCTCAGGACATTTGCACATTCTAATTCTTCCACTTAGGAGTCTTGGCCCCTTCCCAGGCCAAATGCTATTTGTCCTTCAGCTCTGAACTTATGTATCACTTCCTCCATGAAAGCTTTACTGACTGTCACTCTTATAACTAATTAGACCAGTTCCTTTTGCTATCTGTCCTAACACCACCATGAATCTCTTCTTTACAGAACTTCCCACCCATTTAATTGCGTAGTCACTGGATTTTCATGTGTCACCATTACAATAGTTCTGGTGCGCTCTGTGCCCCTAGTTTAGTGCAAGCTCTGGCAATCAATCAATGAGCGAATAGGAAATCAATTCTAGCTTTGATGAGCTCCCATTTTGATGAGGGAGACAGACCAGATATAGTTTAATCCAGACCTAGGAATTCTCCTAAGCAACTACAACCCTTTGATTAGCTCTCTCATCATGTCGTGCTTGGAACTGATACGCTATTTCCTAGCTCCCACCCTGCACCCTGGCGTTGTCTGTCACCAAGTGAGTCTACCCTATTGGTGGTACTGATTTGGTGCCCTTCATTCTGGCCGTAGCCAGGGTGTATTGCTGCTCTATCCTGACCCCACTCTCTCTCCCCATCCCAACCCCTCTCCCCACCCAGCCACACTGGGCTAAAGGGAACACCTGAAAATTAATTCCACATTGATTCTTTGAGTCCACTATGCTGTGGTGGAATCCATTGCTATGGTGGCAGAAAGGAGTTCCTTTAACTTCTCTAGGCCTTGGTTTTCTCATCTCCAAAGTACAGACATGCTCTGCCGACTGAGAAAGTGTGTGCACATGAGAGTTATTAAGCTGGGAAGAGTAAGACTGCTTCTGGACACTCATAACCAAGAAGTCACGAAAGCTGTGTAAATGACCAAGTACTTGAGCAAAAAGAATTGTTAAGACAACACTCCTGCTGTTCTGGATGGCCCCTTTCAAGAGTTTGCTCCCTGTCTCTGCACTCCCCCATATCAGCTTACCCAAGGAGTCTGCACACCAGAACCCAGCAGAGGGCCTTCACCAAAACCCCACCATGCTGGCATCCTTGAACTTCCAGCCTCTGAACTATGAAAAATGAACTGTTTATGAACCGCTCAGTGGACAGCACTTTGTTATAGCAACCAGAGCCTACAAGACACCTGCCAAGTAAATGACAGTTACCCCCACTGAGAACACGTGGAAACTTGAAAGGCAGCTGAAGGGCTTTTCACAATGACCTCCCGACACCAAGTACGTTGAAGAGATCAGCTCTTACTTGAATGCGGGCGGTCTAGTCTTTTTTTCAAGGAGTCTCATCTCTGTGGTTACAACTCATAAATAACCCAGCTGGCTGCCTTAGGGGAAGCATGCCCTATGAAGGTACTGGGCCAAGTGCATTGTGGGTCTCTCATTCCCCAGCCTTCCTATAGATGTAAGGTTCTGATATTATTATTCCATTTTGCGTAGGTTAGGTTACCTGTCCAGGTGAGCTGTTAATGTTAAGCCAGGTCTGTGTGACTCCACCAGCCAGACTTTTGACTATGCCACATCACTGCCTCTCAGAACAAAGTGATTCCTGGGAGGAAGAAATAACAAAACACAGGAACCCATGGTTCTTGTCTCTGCTCAGCAGTTTTTCCCACTGTGGAGCGCAATGGGTCACTGGGAGCTCAGAAGAGTCTTGAATCTGTCCCTGCTGTGGGTGGAGCACAGAGTAAGCACAGCTCTCCACACCTGGATTACCAACTATGTTGGGGCTTCCCCCATCCTTGACATTAGAGGAGAAAAAACCCAAAACAAAAACGGACAGGAAACCCAGGGCCATCCTAGGGCATCAGAAGGCGTCAGCTTGCAGAAACAGAATCAGTGAAGGAGTCAGCGCAGAAAGGAACTCCCTGGGGAAGCTATTAACAATTTAGTACGTGGGCATGTGGCTCCCACCTGCCAGAGAGACAGATCCACCGGATGGAAAATACTGGGACTGCCTCAGAATGAGCAGGCAGCTCCCCTGGGCTCTTTAACTCTGGCTCCAGCTGCAAGCCCAGGAGGGGGCGGACCCTAACGATAACCATAAAATAATAACCACTTACATTTGCAAAGTACTCTTGACTCTCTGAAACACTTCCAGATTGATGATTTCATCTTATCTTGATACCATCCAGATACACTGGGAGGTCAAATTTCATTATCGTCATTTTCCTGGGAGGAAGATAGACATCTAGAGAGCCTGGGTGAGATCCCCAAGGATACACAGCAAATCAGTGGGAGAAACAGGGTTGATACGATTTGTGTAGTTGTCCAAGCCAGAAGCGGAAATCCTGCCTGATTCCTCTTTCTTTCTCTTGCCCCTGCAAGCCACATCCTGTCCATTCTCCCCACATAACCCACGAATCCTGCCACTGTTCGTTATTCACATGACCACCCTTCTAGCCTGACACAGCCCCGGTTCTTACTGAAAAGGCCTCTTAACTGGTCTCCCTGTACCTGGGCTGACTGCCTTCACGAAGCAAAGCAGCAACATGACTGCAGGTGAGGCTCTCACCTCTCTGCCGCAGTAGCCTCCAGCTTGAGGCTCTCCTAGGAGTCTGCTTCTCCCACCTGCAGGTCAAGCTAAGTGGTTAAGAGGGATTAATTTTTTGAGATTTATTTATGTATACAATAACCTGGGTACAGGCCAGAGGTGCAGGGGGTGAGAAGATTCACCGGAGATAGAGTGGGGAGCAGAACAGGCAGGTCGACTGAAATTCACTATCAAAGGGAGCAGCGGACAAGACAGGTGATGTCTGCTGCGCCAGTGGGTCAGCTCCCTGGCTGGGATCTAACTCGGGCTGCAGTGGCTGGTGATGCCTTGATAGCTCTGAGTCTTTCACCCCTGTGTCACCAGGGAGGCCCTCTTGGCTGCATGTAAAGCCCCAGCTCAGCCACATTCTGTTGCTTGACCTGGAGCAAGTTAGTTCTGTAAATTTCACCAAATGGGACAACAGTGGCTGCTTGATGGCATCTGGCACGTGGGCGTGTTCTGTGTTCAGCTACCGCTGCCATGATGGTCCTTCTGCTGGAACACTCAACTGTGGGCTCCCCAGCTCCCTAGTCACCTAGCCCACT